GCCCTCACAATGACAGAACAATTTGAGACAGATGTAAAATTTTTCTTCCCATTCAGGATGAAGAGATTCAAACCTTGAATTTTTAAAAAGAGTCTAGGTAGCATAATGGGTTATTCAATACATTGATTAAGGGCCAGATAAGCAGTTTGAGCCTACTAGCCACTCCAAGGGAGATCACTGAGACTGTCTGTCCCCAGAATGATTAACTTTCTCAGAAACCATCCAGAGCTTTTCTACTCTGTATTATAAGTTCACTCATCAGACAGGATCACATGGAAGGCTGAGTGTGTGTGTGTGTGTGTGTGTGTGTGTGTGTGTAGGTTGGGGTGCTGAATTTGTATACCACTTAATTTTTCAAAGCATATCCAACATTTTCTTTCATTTTATCCTCATAGCAACACAATGAGGTAAAGTTCTCAGTAAAAAGGCACCTCACGAATTGATTTTATTGTGCAGTCCTTTGAAGTTTATTTAGGAGAAAGCTGAGACTTTCTGCTCCCATAAAAATTTATTTGCCTCAAATCCCAAAGGGAAAGTTCCACCCACTCCTCTAGGGACCTCAGGAGTTGGGATTGACTCAATGGCAGTGGGTTGTAGCTTCAGTTTTTGAAGTTTGTAGAAAACTGGGTGGCACAAATGGTTTGCCTCCATCTGAAAGCCAGACTCCAGGAATTGGCAGAATACCAAAGGAAATGTTTCCACAAGCTGAGGAAGCACCGGAAGCACTCACCCTCCATGGCAAGATTTTGGGGAGAGATCGTTAATTGTATTCAGTCCAAACAAAGGTGACCCAACAGAATGCATAAATTATTGAAGAACATCATTAATATAAAATGCAAGTAAAATTTTGCAGAAGATAATTCCATAATTGCAGCAGTACATTGACGGTATGTTGCCAGAAATTCAAGTAAGATTCAGAAAAGGATGCAGCACAAGGGAAATTATTGATGATGCCAGTTGAATCTTAGCTAAAAGCAGAGAAAAGCAGAAAGATGTTGCTGGTGTTATTTGTGCAAATACATTCAACTGTGTGGATCACAACAAACTATGGGATAACCTTGTGAAGAATGGGAATTCTGAAGCATGTCATTGTGTTCAGGGACCAGCATGTGAACCAAGAGATAGTCTTTCAAACAGAGCAAGGGTTCCCGCATGGTTAAAAATCAGAAAACGTGTGCATCAGGGTTGCATCCTTTTATCATACTTATTCCATCTGTACACTGAGCAAGTAATCTGAGAGACTGGGCTATGTGAAGAAAAAGGCGCTTCAGGATTAAAGAAAGACTTGTTAATAACATGTGATATGCAAATGACACAACCTTGCTTGCTGAAACTGGGAAAGATTTAGTCATGGAAATCAAAGGGTGCCTTCAGTATGAATTTCAATTCAATGTCAAGAAAAGCAAAAATCCTCAGAAGTGAACCAATAGACCACATCATGATAAACAGAGAAAGGGTTGAGGGGGTCAAGGATTGCGTTTTGCTTGC